ACTGCTTTGAATTATTAACAGTTTGCTGTGAAACTGCCTTCTTGGTAAAGAAGTAATGTTTGAATGCATGGCTCAATTTAAACATTTTACTAAGGGCTGGGACACAGCATAGCGATGCCCGGCACCTACTGTGATGTCGCCTCGGGTTGGTTCGCTTCTGGATCAAAAAGCTTCAAGTGAACGCACCAAACAGACAAAAGTCATCATAAAGTGAGAGCCATATTCTGTGCCTGTGCAACTAGTTGTGACTTTCTGTGGCAGCAAGTAGTCTGTTTTCTCATTTTGCAATAAGGAAACCAAACTTCTGATATGCAAAGCTTAAACAAAGCAGCATTTAGCACCAATATCACAGTAATTGTCACTCTCCACAGAGGAATTTGATTGTACAAATATGTCATAGTCCAATAATCCATATCATTTGCAAATATTAGAGAAATTACAAATGGCCTCATTGAGTATGTTTACATGGACACCAATAATCCAATTTTAATACGATTAAGACAGCACTCTGATTAAGAGTTTACCATGTAAACATCGATTACTTAATCCGAATGGCTTAATCCGACTAAAGTCATAATCAAACTAAACAGAAATCAGATTAAGACATGTGGAGGATGGCAATTTGACATCAATAATTTCACATTATTGAAGTGCAGTACAGACATGTAAACACCGCAATTAAACTTTTACCGCATGTAGGATTTTCGCCACATTTTTATAGACAGGACAGTCTATACACAAACGGCTTTGACACCATTCTCTGCACCTATCAAGTCAGTGAATGACCACAGACACATAGTGAAAAGCAGAGGGGTTTTTTCCCCATATGGCGTGTGGCATCAAATTCCATTAAATCAACAAACTCTTACAGCAGTTTATAATCGCATCCAATATCTTGCTTGTCACGAGGGGCATGTATGAAATGTTCCTAAATGAAAGAGCCAAACTGCAGTTTAAGTCGACAAATTAAAAAAATGAAACACTCGAAATTACATGAAACTCCAGAGGAAATGTGGAAAGTGTGGTGACGCAATGACGGTAGTCGAATTATGTGCTATAACATGTAAAACAGGATCATAAAAGGAAAAAAATTCAGGGATTCAAAAAGCATGTAAAAACCTTAATTATTTTATTTTATTGTCTTATTCAGATTAAGGCAAATAATTTGATTACTGATCTCTATGTAAACGTAGTCATTGTGATCCTTGAATGGGCTTGAAATGTTTACTATGTAATTTCACTCCGTCACACTCACGCTCTGATTTGTTGCTGATTAACCAGTCAGAGAGCTCTCTTCAGCTGATGGCAATTAAAAATGCTAAATCGGACCAACAAGCTCTATCATTACTTCAACGAGAACACACCAAACCAACTAGCCAGACCGACAAACAGACGAAGCCCAACGGCTGACTGTTGGCTTGGTGTCCCGGCCCTAAGATGCATTATTTAAACACAAAACAGAAGCATCAATCCAGAGCTCCTCTGTCGTACTTGAGACTGGTTAATCCCTTGGCTTTTGGCCCCACCCACACTTGTCATCAATACCAAGCTGGCCAATCACAGATCTTTTGTTTTGGCTGGCAACCTATGATCCGATCACTGACAATGCATGTTAATTCTAGGTGGAATCTATGATGTATGAATACACATATGTACTAATTCAAGAAAACGACACTCCCAGGAGCTCGGGCAGAATTCGGTGGCTTGAAAGGAACATTTAAGAAAAGGACTTTAGCCTAATGGGGCCTATTGAGTTCTTTTATATAATGTGTATTAATCTTCTTCATCTAAAAATCTGCTTTTGTCAGGCAGATTACATCACTGTCCATGATGAACTGTGACATTTGATTTATTAAGCAGCAAGAGCTGAAAAAGACTGTTGCTTCAGCATGGAGAGGCAGCCTGGTCACCTGATTCCTGTGGCAATGAGCAACGGCTAATAGTTTAGAGAGATGAACCTGCTGAGTGGGTGGTGGTCACTGCTTAAGTTTAACCTCATGACTGGGGTCTCTCTCAAAAGGAGACGGGGAGTGGGGAAAAAAAAGATAATCACATTACCAAGAGGACTGAAGGTATTATACAACACTCAACATTACATAATGCCATCTCTGAGCTGTGTCTTACATTACGATACATGTAGTAAAACCTGGGCTCCTTTTCAATGTTTGATCAAAAGCATTTATTTCAGATGCTCAAACAATACAGCCACATGATTACTGAAGACAGCAAAAGCATAACTGTGTGGCGAACATCTGCAGGGGTCTATCACACACGCTGGCACCCCTTCTCCGAAGCTGAAGAGTGTCCTTCAACCCTCAAATGAAAGCTGACAGCTGCCATTGGCTGAGCCACGTTAGATGCCCAAGAGTGTGGGCTGAATTGCGACTGTTATATAACATGCTCTTAAAGAGTGTGACATGCTAACAAATAAAAGGGCATTGCAATTATCAACAAATTCACGCCACATGTCGAGCTGTTATGAACGACAGAGGACAGCCACAAGCTTGGTTTTTGCTCTCTGATAATCATCTTTTATGCTGCATACAAAGATGAGGCTGTAATGACAGCTACAATAGACTGTTCTTGCAATTCCTGCACTTGAGGAAAAAGTCAGATTCTTCTCAGAAAAAGTATCAGCCATTATGAATCCAAATTGCTTAATTCCAATACCAAGTCAAAATAAAAGAAATTATAAAAATCTTGGCAGAATCTGAAATAGATATAAATTAGAAAAATCTGATTGGTTAAATCTAATATGAAACAGCCTGTGCAGTGCCTAGGGATGGGTACCGAAACTCTGTGCTTTATCGATATCGGTGCTACATTATAAAAGAATGAAGTATCGATAAGCTCTGATGTTAATGGTTCTGCTATCAGTCCTAGATAATTATTGCTAAATAAACATTACTTATGTTAGCATAATTTAACTGACCAACCTTTTCTAATTTACAATATTTGATATTCGCCTGCGCAGTTGGCAATCTCACATGAGAAATGCTTGTGTTTCTGGCGAGCCGTCTAGTATAAAAGCCATTACAGTTCTTGGCTCAGCTTGAAAGCTTGAGGAGTGAATCAAATGGGTTGTACTTCCTGAGTGGACAGCGACAATGTCCATTGCAACAAACGCAACAAGATGTTTTCTTGTATAAGCGGAAACACAAGCAATCTGGCTAAGTGACGGTATCTTTTTAAAGTGCATTAACTGCAATGAAAGTAATAAGTAACATAAGTATGCTACCTAAGCTAGTAAATACATATTATTTTTAACCTTTTTTACACACACACACACACACACACACACACACACACACACACACACACACACACACACACACACACACACACACACACACACACACACACACACACACACACACACACACACACACACACATATATATATATATAAAAATTACTATTACTTTTTTTTTTTTGCTAAATTGTGCGCAAATTTTTGGGAATTCCCTAAATGATACTTTCTAAATAGAATAAGCTTACTCTTGAATAAAACAAGCTCAATATCGAGAAATTATATCATTAAAGGTCACATGAAGTAATTTGAAATGTGCATTTTTATTCAATGTTTGCCGTAATGTCAACCGAAACATGAAGAAAAGTAAGACATATAAACCTTCTCCCCTTTTAAAAAAACAGCATTTTGGAGTTTTGTTTTATCACCGCTCTACCAGCGAGAGTAGTTGAGCTCAAACTCATAAAATGAAAAGCATCTTGAAGGGGGGTGGGGTATGTCAGATACTACAGAGCATTTGACTGTCATAATTTGATAAGAAACTAAAGTATGAGATGACCTAAATAAAACCGTTGATCCATTTAGGTGGAAGTGACAAACTGCAAGCTGCACGTTTATAACGATTTTATATCTTCTATACGTGAATCTTGCTTACAGATATCCTAAAAACTACCAATACAAGCTGAAAAACTACCTGATACAAACATCTAAAAACTGTTTCATTTCATGTGACCTTTAACATCTGCAATAAGCAGTGTCACATTTTTTATTTTGTGATATGTCGATATTACAATGGATCGTTACACCCCTACTTATTTGTCAGAGCCAGTAGCCTTGTGGATCATTCATTCATTAAATCCCAACTCGAGGCATTTTTCAGGTCTCCCACTTTCTATAAACTCTCTCTACAACCCTTTGATGTACCCCTTCTATTTCACTCTCAAAGCCAGTTGTACCAACTTCAAGACTTGCTCAACTGTGTGGCTAAATCCCGTTCACAGATTTCCACAGAAAAGAGTGATAATGCTACACCTCCATCACTAGCTGCACTCAATGCACCCCCTGAGCCAGTGGAGTATCTGTATTATCTGCCACTGATACATCATAGCAAGCAAGAAGCCTCACAGCACCTCAGGCAGAAAGCACATGTCTGAACAGGACTTCACAGTAGCAACAGGTTCCGTTTCATCATTAAGAATGGCAAAGGCCAAAAATAGAAAAACCATTCCACCTAGTTTGGGATCATTACAATGGGTGTGGGGTTAAATGGATCATGTTTCTCTATTATGTAATGCACCTCACTATAGCCTGCCGCACTGAACTCCCTAAATCCTTTATGACTCTGCACACGCATGATATACCTCGGACATCAAGTACCCGGCCGGGTCAAAAGACAAGCTAAGAGTGGACCAGGAGAAAGGGTGCTGTGTGATGTGTTTCTGCTTGAGCGCGGCTCTAATATTAATTCTGAGTCAGTGCACCCGCTGGAGTCCAGCCAAGACTTGCAGCCGCGACTCGAGCGCACGGCAGCTGGGAAAGTTTAGCATGATGTACAAATCACCTCAAGCCATCCGTGCAAGGCAATTCATTTGAAGAAGTCTGACTCAAAATCTTCAGAAAGCAATGATCTCAACTAAAAGATGACGTGGACCTAACGCTGAGCCTTACACCTGGCAGTAAGCCGTACAGCAAGTCATTGTCAGGAAAGATGATGTTTGGAGTGGCTGTAAAATGTGTGTCAAAGCAGTACCTTGCCGGTTGATCTCGTTTTGCAGAAGCTCCTCCATGGCCTCCTCTTCTGCGATATCTAATGGCGTTTCTCCTTCGCTGTTTACTACACCAACGCTCGCACCTTGAGAGATAAGATACCTGCGAAGACATGGCAAGATGTTTAAAATAACAATAGGTGTGATTAGCACAATCATTCAGACATCTGCTGCTATATTGAAAAAAATAAATAAAATAAAAAGTTGAATTAATAAAAAAAGGGGTGTTTTTTTAAGTGACCCTAAAAGGTTGTTTACACCTGGTCATGTGATGTGTTTTATGAGATCAGACAGCTAGCTAAATGATTTGTGGAAGGAGTTTTTACATTTGGCCACATTAATGCATTTCTGCTAAACAAACATTCCAATCTTCAACTCCCATGTTGTCAAGCACTTCCTGACAAAAGTCTTGTCGACAATCCAGTAGTAAAAGCATCAAATAATAATTTGACTTCTAGTTGATCAGTTGAAAAAGTGGCAGAAGGTAGATTTTTCCGATGAATAATCTGTTGAACTACATCCCAATCACCACAAATACTGCATCTAACTCGCATGGACCCAAGATTCTCATAGAAATCAGTCAAGTTTGGGGAGGGAAAAATCATGGTTTGGGGTTACATTCAGTTTGGGGGTGTGCGAGAGATCTGCAGAGTGGATGGCAACATCAACAGCCTGAGGCATCAAGACATTTGTGCTGTCGATTACATACTACAGCAGAGGGCAAATTCTTCAGCAGGATAGCGCTTCTCATTCTTCAGCCTCCACAACAAAGTTCTTGAAAGCAGAGAAGGTCAAGGTGCTCCAGGATTGCCCAGCCCAGTCACCAGGTATGATCATTATAGAGCATGTTTGGGGTAAGATAAAGGAAGAGGCATTAAAGATAAATCCAAAAGATCTTGATGAAATTTGGGAGTCCTGCAAGAATCCTTTCTTGCCATTCCAGTTGACTTTATGAATACGTTATTCGAGTCATTGCAGAAATGTATGGAAGCAGTAGTCCAAGCTCAATCGAGTTATACACAATATTAATTCTTTTTGCAAATTCAGACCTTACTGTCCTAATTAAATAATTAAAAACCAAGACATGATTATATTTTATTTTGGTAAAAATAAGCGTAATCTAGAGGCCTTTGCCTTTCATATCAACCATTTCTGATAGCAAATGATCAATGATCAACTGTCAAGTTACTATTTATTGTTCCTAAAACTTGGATAGGCGACAAGACTTTTGTCAGGTAATGTATACACATTTATCTAGGTTATGTCAACCTAAAATGCAGTGTATCTGGCCCTTTTAAAATTATTATTTTTATACAAACGTAATCTATACATCTTACTCAGCATATAAATAAACATCCCAAAAGGTCAACTTTGGATTTTGTTGCTTGTTGTTTTTATACATGACTAATGTCATCAATCATAAAACTTGCTTTAGTATTAATTTATTTTTACAAAGTAATTTATGTGTGCGGTTTCAACAATCAGATGCATTTAGACCTGTCCATTCCAATGCGTTTTGGAGGGAATGTACACCTACACTTCACAGTCAGAAAAATTGCAAGAAGTGACCAGGTGAAAATGCCCTTAAGAATTCAAGTGATGATCTAAATTACAATTCAGTGAAGGGAAGGGGTCTTCCACTTTAGTTACTGGTTAACAGAGTGGATTCACGCCACTAAGCACATAGAAAGACTTGAGAGAGTTATGAAGGAGAGGCTACCACTTGTCTGAAAGACCTTTTCAGCATTGACCTTGATGTGCTCAACACAGTGCCCTCAGTAACCCCACACTGCTCAGATGGCAGATTCAAGACCGCAGCACTAGAGAACAAGACCGCACGGACCTGCGCTTACTACAGAGTGGGTCTTCTTACACATTTAAAGCAGCTCAATACTTAGTATAAGTCAAACACCACAGCAAAATTTGTTGAAAGTACAAGATCTAAGTGATTACAAACAGCAGCTTGTCTGCAGATATTTTTTAACTAAAACATAATCAGACACATTCTAGGGTATTAATGTTATAAATTAAAGCAGAAAGCAAGCTTGTTGGAAGACTATTCAAACCATTCTCTCTTATTTGTAACTTTTACATGATAAATGACACTTTCAATTGAGTATTTTAGCATTGTGATGTAGCTTAACAATGAAACAAAGGAAGTGGCTTGCTTTCTATTTGACTGCTTTCATTTCAAAAAGTAGCTGTTTAGTTCAGCTGCCAAATAGGGAAGGCCAATTCTCAGAAATATATTATCGTGTTAATCGTGTTAATTTTCAGGAAAAAAAAAATATATATATATCATTATATGTAAAGACAAATAATGGTCAGGTAACACATACTTCTTAAAATTATTTGATAAATTAAGGTATTAAATATGAAACATCTTTATAATTTATCTCTTGCATTTATCTCTAATTATCTTTATAATTTGTCTCTTGCATAAAATGCATAAGCCTTCCTATCAAATTTGTTTAAAAGAAACCCTGAAAAATCTTAATTTACATAGTCTCTTTGTAATTAATTACAATATTTGAGTCATTAGGCTTTATTATGGTTTTATTAAGATAATTTTGTATACAGACCACTACCAATTCCTATTTCTGGCTCTAGAAATATTAGTCCTATCAACAGACACAAAACAGGTCAGAGTACTGGTAATATTCAGGACAAAAGCAAGCTTGTTCTGATTTACTGTTTGCCCTATTTAAAAGTCAGCTGATATTTTCTCTAGAGTGCTGTGCTCCCTATACAGCTCACCAGCCTTCAGTATAACTCAGGCATGACATTCCCTTTTAAAAACACCCACTTCATATAAAAGATTGACACTAACAACAAAAAACTAAGACTGCACACCAATCAAATGTCCATGACAACAATTATCATAACTGACAGGATATTACAACTCATGTTACGATCAAAAACGCATGTCGAAACGCAAAGTGGGTGTCATGCTGATTTAAGATTGTTTTGAAGTTAACTTAGAGCTGAAAAAAAAGCATTTATTTGGTGCCTATTATAACATTGTGATGTTAACTTAGCAATATGCTAACATCAAAGCAGAATAAATTCTCTAAATTTCTATCTGCTATTTTTCTTATTGCTATCAGTGTAGCATTATTTGTGTATCGTTATTCAGTATTTGCTGCCTTCGAAGGGCCCATGGTTTGTTGGTAGAGAACAGTATATGAAACAAAGTTTTTAACAGTCTAATACATCATCAATTCATAGAAGAGGATGTGTTCATCAATTCTTAGTAAAGGAGGAATGGCGTCAAATGTCATTGTGAGTGTCAAATTAAAGGAGCTGCAACTGATTTCAGCCCACGCTAGATGCTAATCCATCACAGTGGCGTAGTGTGAGAACAGAGGTCACTTGGGGCTTTGAGTTTGGGCTGGCCTTTTAACCAGGTTACACATAGTTGGCAAAGCACCCTATCAATGGATCAACTGTGAGGGAAAGGAGAAACAGCACATACAAACATGGTCAAAATGTCATCGTATGGATGTGCTGAAAACCTCACAAAACGCAAGTCTCTTACTATTGACAAGTGCACTCTGGCTTGCAGTATGACTAGCTTTTTTGATTTGTCTATTTATTAATTAGGTGATACAATAAATCTTTGGCACCTTTTTATACAGCTTATGATGTAGTTTGCCATTAAATGTTGTTTACAAAACTGCATTGAATTCGGAGGAAAAAATTTATCATTTTAATCACCCGAGTCTATTTTAACATTGAACGTCCAAGTCTGAAACAAGTATTAATTAAAACCTTTACTTGAAAAAGTAGACAGACAGAAAGAGTGCTATGTAATCTATCTATCCATCCATCCATCCATCTATAAAATGCAGTGGTCTGAATGGTAAGTCATATCATCACCCGCAACCGACATTTTCCATGTGATGCTCAAAGATGCAAAGTAGTGCTGTGTTCACACCAGAAGCGGAACTCTGTGTCAAAATCACTTCACAATAGTCATAGATTTGCGTTATGGGCAGGGCTTCTGTCTGCCCGCTGACTCGAGCTTTGTTGCTAAATGGCTAACATGAATTTTATTGAGAATAGCTGTGTTTATGAGCTTTATGAAGGCTGAAAAACATCGTAGTTTTATTCGGCGCCATGTCTGAGTCCACTGGACTCTTTCAGAGATGCACCCAGCTCTGAGTTCATCAACTCCTTCGGAAACTATACCTGGATGATGTAGGCTTTCAGCGGTGCTTCAGACTGAGCCAAGCCCAGTTTGATGAACTGTTGTCCGGTGTCGGCAAGATTTCCCCTCGGCAAACCAACAACAGGCACTACGTCATAATCACTCCCCTACAATAGCAAGCTCATGATTGGTTAACGCGGCATGAATGTCCGCTGAACTTTACATTTTCCAACTCGATTGGCACGCGCAAAATGCTCAACTTGCACCGATTCATCCATATGAATCGTGTCATTCAAGCGGCCTCATTTGCACTAAGCGCGCCGCAAGATGTTTATTCACATCTTTGCATTGACTTAACAAGCAAATCACTCACGCTTAACGCTTCATCCACATCTGGTGTGAATGCAGCATAAGTGCATTTGAGAAACACAAAGAAAAATTTAGCATGTAGAGATGGATTTTCTTTCAGGTTTCAGATGGTCTCTTCGACATGATCATTTTAACTATAACTTTTAACAGCAACACCTTAATAACATAACGTCATCACGCAAAACCAGGGATAATTCATTTCTGTCATTTTATTTGTCAGTTAATGAAACCATGGCAAGGTACAGCCATTTGTAATTGACTTGAAATGGGTTTTGAAAATTACTTAAAGCAAAGATTTGTCAAATTCTGTCACAATTTGTGTTTTATATAAATTCTGTTTTTAAGTCTTTTTTCAGCATTCCCATCTGTGCTTTGAGCATTGGGGAAATCATAAGGCCATATCATATGCATATATCTAGTTTATCAAGTTACGATTAGGTCTAGACACAAACATTTTTTGTGACTTACTCAGCGATGTCGAGGTATCCACAGGAGGCAGCGGCGTGAAGGGGGATCCAGCCTTCATTATCAGGCTGGTTAATGCAGGCTCCATGCTCCACCAAGAAGGTCACCATGTCCACATTATCATCTATGCAGGCCTGAAAAAAGAGAGGAAAAGCAAGAATTAACATCTAAACACGAGTAACCATCCAGCATCTTTAATTATCAAACTTTAAACATATTTTAAAATGGTATTAAAGCGGCACGTAGCATTTTGGTTACCTAATGTTTGGATTAAGAGTCTTAGCCAAACACAGTTTCATAAACCCAAAAGTGAGCTTCAGGGCCAAACATTAATCTTCAGTGGGAACCTATTCCTCCAAACAAAGACACATTATATCATCAGGTAACCAAAATCCCTTAAGGGAGATTTGGAGGTCTGTAATTAAAGCATGTTGCCACTCGATGAAACAAAAGAGCCTGATAGAGACTAGCGATGTCACTGCTATGACAATACATGTGTGCCCTGCCAATGTTTGAGGTTAGAACAGTTCTTATTTAATTATTTTAAACAGATTGTATTCAGCAAACTGATTCAAAGTGCAAGTAAATTCATATAAAAAGTTTAAAAAGCCATATTTTGTTTTAAATGCATTTCAATGAATCAAGAAATTGCTTTTTTTGTTGGGGGAAATCAACAATCGTGACCTTATCTTTTGAGAGAAACTTTCAATGCCAAACACCTCAGTCTAAACGGACAACCTTGAACATCATCCAGGCTCAGTTCTCTGGGTACGCCCCTCTTGAACGGCTGCCCATGAAATCTCCTGGTCATATGGCTGGTTGCCATGACAATACCATAGACTAAGAGGGGAAACACACAAACCATCCTCACGTTCGGGGCACATGACTATCTGGGTAAAATCCTTGCCCAAATTTGGGCTGTTTACAGTACCGCGGTAGAAATGTGTGGGCCTCTTTACTCTTATCAGGGCCTTGTCAAACTAGTGGTAGAGGAAACCAGGACTGTCCAAACAGATGCTCACAGGCTGTTTGAACTACTTTTACTGGTCTGAAGTCCTTATTTTTACCTTTTCAGTACATAAAGCATAGTCTTTTTCTGTCAATTCTCACAAGCAAACTAAAGTGTCATTGATCGTTGCATATTTCATTCCAAACTAACTTTAAATTAGCCAAATGTGTGATCAATTTTAAACAAATGATTATATATATATATATATATATATATATATATATATATATATATATATATATATATATAATTTTTTTTTTTTTTTTGGTTTTTTTTTTGAGGGCTTTACATTAACAATATTCGTGTAAATGTGATATAACAATTAGAATTAGAAGCAGCACGACTGACAAAAATAACTGTGTTCGCGCAAGCTTACGTTTACTTGCGCAAAGCAACTGTGCCTAGAGGAAGCGCAACGGGTGCGATTGGTTCCAAACACAAAACAAGATATTCATACTTAGTGTTGTGCTAAAACACAAGAAAGATCTTTAACATTTTTGTCTTCTCCTAACACTATCATTTATCATTTTGCCATCAATATCGCAATGTGCGCATCTAGTCTTACAATTGATCAGCTCTTTAGTTGAGAACGCATGTGGTTTGTGAAGCCACTGCAGTGTTTATCCACAATGGAGTGCAAGTTTATCAGTTGTAGATCTTTAAGGCCTGTGAATAAACATTTCAAGTTTAACACATTTCAGGAAGCTTTAATAAAGATTGATTTTACTGAAATGAGTTCTACAATGAAGACTACACAGTGATATTCTACATTTAACTATTCAATATCTGTACCTGAATACAGATAGACTTCACAGAGGGTCACATAAATATTTGCTCAATTGTATCTCTAACAAACTGTTTATCTGTAACCCACTGGTCCTATTGCACCCATCCCGTTTTGAACCAGGATCGAACCAGCAATTCGTTGTATGGGAGTCGGTTGCTTTAACATGGAGGCTAAAGACCACGGTCTTTAGTCTCTGTCGCTAGAGCACCTTTAGAGGTTAGAGGGGTGAGGTTTACCTGAATAGCACCTCGCTAACAGGCATCCGTTAACACTCACCCCCATAAACCTCACTCCCATCCCTGACGAGCCTCCACGTGTAACCCACCAGACCTATTGCACTCACTCCGTTCTGAGCTGGGATTGAACTGGCGATTCTTTGTATTGGAGCAGTCTGCTTAAACAAGGTGTTTAAATATCATGGCCTATTGTGTAAGTTGCTAGAGCACCTTTAGAGGTCAGAGGTGTGAGATTTACCTTTATATCACTTCGCTAGCAGGCATCAGTTACATTAACCCACCTAAACCTCACTCCCACCCCACAGCCCCCACGAGTACCCCACCGGTCCTATTGCACACATCCTTTTTGGAGCTAGGATCGAACTAGCGAATCTTTGTATGGGAGTAGTTTGATTAAACTAGGAGGCTAAAGACCATGGCCTCTAACGTATGTCATTAGAGCACCTTTAGAGGTCAGAGGATTGAGGTTTAGCTGCATAGCACTTCACTAGCTGGCATCTGTTACCTTGCAATGCTAAATTGTTTTAAATATTGCGCATCCCTACTTTAGAACATGACAAACAATGAGAGAAAGTTCTGAATGAAACTCAACTGGTCAAAATAAACACATTGGAATGCATAATAAAACCTGGTTGAAACGGTGCCAAACTTTTAACTGACAATTATCCAGCCAATAAATCACACTTCCAAAACTTACTCAATAAAACTGCAGCTTTTTTTCTGTTGACTGACACTGATAATGTGGTTCAGTAAACAAGCCTATCCAATTAAGCCTAATTCAATCCACTCAACGCTAACATGCAAGTCTTTAGAAATGACTCATTAAATCCAACCAGCTCATTAGGAGTCATATGATTGTTGTGGTCAAGAACGACTCTGAACAATTGAAGACAAAATGTTCAAAATGTTCCCAGCCTTTTTAACTGATAATTAAAAAGCAACCAGCGGTTACGAAAACAACACACAAAAAAAGATTACATCATTGTAATTCAATCATCATTCAGGCTAATTAACTTGGTAAAGTAACACAAAGCAAAAGTTAATCTGCAGGTTTTTCAGTAGCACCCAAATGTTTGATGTCATTCTTTCTGCCTCAGGATAACACGTGTCCCCTTAAGGTAAGCAAGCATTCCCTCTGGCCTCAAAACACACTGTTTATTAAAAGCCTAGCCCAGCAGTTCCCACAGCCCAACAATGGCAATCCCTTAATGGCTGTAATTGTTCAGGCCTGACAGGTGTGAGAGGCTGTGACCACATCAGGGAATGCAGAGCCGGACTTTGAGCTCCAAGACAAGGAAAAACGCTTTCTAATGAAATGAAGGACTCCAAACTAATTCTCTAAAGTGCTTCTGAGCGCCATGTTGGAGTGTAGAGAGAAAAAAAAAAAGCACTGTAAATTCCTTTAAGAACATGTACTGAGTAATGCAAGAACGTCATTGGTGTGTAAAGAAGACAGATTGGGTATGTGGGTGTCTAACTGATCCAGACAGACATATGAGGTCTGTTTTTTATTTGGTGGTTCGGCTGTACATTCAGCAGACATCTGGGAGCTAATCTGAATAATGTTGGTAATAATAGCAAGGATTGCATCCAAATCCCACATCAACTGAAGGCCGCAGACAGGCACATACAGAGGCCGCAGACATGTATGGACTTAAGAGCAAACAAATCGCCAAATCTCCATTTAAACCTATGTGACAAAGCTGGAGAGAAGCATTAACTAGTGATAAATATGGAGGTAAATCAGATATATGTGAGTTTAAAAAGGTATGGTGTGGATTCGATCTGAACAAATCTTGTTTGTTTGTTTTTTTAAAAGAGAAGCCACAATTAATCCGACACTAGTAAATCTGCCTATAGGTTTTCCTAAGAAGAAGAGGAATATTTTTTTTTAATTTCCATTGCAAGTTCAAGGCTCGAAAATAAACTTTTTTTCTTGGTAGCACCGGTGCTCCTAACTTCATAAATTTAGGTGTACTAGACAAAATTTTGTCGCACCCATAAAAATGAGCATTTACTAAAATGTTTTATATTAAAAGATTTATTGTATTTGTAATCAACACTTTTCAAAACTAACAAATAAACAAAAATCTGCAGCCGCTCAGCTGCCCTGCACACACCGCTTGACGTGAATGAGATGAACTGAATAAACAATAACAGTGCTTTTCTCACGGGTGGTGTCTGATATGGCACAGATGACATATAACTTATTATTTGCATACGTCATCTTAATAGCATTAACGGTCTTTTCATGAGCTGCGATATTAGTTTCATCTCATTGAATGCATGCTCTTCAGTGATGGTGAACACGGTGTCAGTCGCATGACTGAAAGCATCATGACGATTAAATTAGGGATTTAATATTGTAAAAAAAATTATGTGCTTAATGTGTAGATTCAGTGGCAAACAGTTACCTGAAAACTTCCACTTCATTACATGATAACTAATCAGATGTGCCATTATTTGTAACTGTAGGTAGTTTCTAAAACTAAATCTGCCAGTGTTGTTTTCATTCTCTTGTATCTGGACCTGTAGCTCCCTGTCATCGGAATTGAGTGATTGACAGCTGATATTAACCAATCCATTCGCGTTCTGTTCTAGCGCAGTGGGCCAATAAGAAGAGCTTGAAGGTGGGGCAGGCATTGCAGGCTTTTTTTGTTTTGTCAACCATTCGTGAGCGCTGTATTTGGCGTTTTTAGGTACAAAGATGCTTATTGTGTGAATGACTCCTAATTCCGCGCATGTGGTAAACATTTTGCTGTAAAAACTAGTCGCACAACATCAATTTTATGCACTTGCACAAATGCTCCCAAATATAATTTGAGGTCACAGATTAAATTTCGGGCACATATGCGACCAAAACAGTGGCAATTTCAAGCCCTGCAGTTGTTCAAACATTGGCAATAAAGAAAAACAGAATCCTAAGAGCACAAAAATTTACACACAGGCCCTTTAAAGTAACACTTAATTTTTTGAAACAAGTTCATTTTACAAGTGCCCTAGATTTAAACAGTTGAGTTTAAACATTTTGAATACCTTCAGTAGGGCTGTGCAATTAATCGAAAATCCGATTTTCGATTTTGGCTTGTAACGATTATGAAA